AGTTTATATATATATATATATATATTTATTTTTTTTTTTTTGAATGACAAAAAAATTAATTATTAAAAAGAATAAAATGTGGCTATGTCAAATCATCACTTCAAATATTTTTTCTATATTCAAATTTACACTCCTAATATCATAACCAAAATAAAATGTAGATATCATTTAATATTAATTGACTGTTCTTTTTTAACTGGTCAATGGTTATATACCAAGAAATTAATATAATCACCTGATATATGTATTTAAGAGTACATCTTATAAATATACTATTTTACTATTAATTGCTAAGAATAAAGGTTTAATTACAGGTCATAACTATTAAATTAAATTATATTTAGTTTTATTTATTTATTATGATAATTAAATATTTTCCTTTCTCTTCAATATATATATTCCATATTTAAGTATGATTTTTTTTCTTTAACCATGTTTAGTGAGCTTAATTCTATTAAGTGAGCTAAAATTTACGAACTCATTGATGAACATATATTTTCCTTTCTTTTAATTATAATCATTTTTTTTAAAAAAAATAACTAAATTCCATCATTCTCTCTCCAAATATTTCTTTTTACTCTATTTTTCCCCAATAAATTTGGTATTCAATTCTTTACTCTTTCTCCTGATTTTACGATTTTCATATTAATTAAATCAAGCTATTTTTTAATTTATTGATATATATAATTGATATAAAATTGGTACAGAATCGGTATGGAATCAAATCGTATATTATAATAGGTATAAAATCGATATAAAAAAAATTGACATAAAATTAAATTTGCTTATAAACCTTAAAATTTAAAATCATGCTATTTCATATAATTCTCAATTTTTCAAATTTTAAACTACAATAAAAAAATCAATACGATTTGTTTTTACAATAATTAATTCAAAAATCAAAAATCATACAATTAAATAGATATATAATATTGGACAATACATATGTGTATAAAAGCCCTAGCAAAGAAAATAAAATTAAAGCACTTATTTCTCATATAATAAAAAGAAATCAATGTAAAAACAGGTTCCAAATAATATGTATTTATAAAAAATAAATTTCAGAATTAAGTATACTTGTTTCACCCCCAAAAAATATAATAGATATAAAAAAAAACACAAAAAGTGAGATCAAAATTTCATTGGAAACAATTTCTTTTCCTACCAAAAGATCAAGTTCGAGATTAAAAATAAAATAAAAAACAAAATGAAATTTCAAAAAAATCAAATTCTAATTTCTAAAAAAAAATCAGATCAAAAGATAAAAGCAAGATCATTTTTAAAAAAATAAAATAAAAAAAAAGGATTAAGAGAAAATATTACATGTTGAAACCTATGGTAATAAAATATAAAAAATCTGAATAATAAAACAATCAAGATAAGAATAAATTAAGAGAAAATCAAGGAATTGATTTATCTTATCAATTATAAATTACTATATTTATTAAAAATATATTTTGTTAATAAATTATATTAGGACTTCTTTTATTTTGCTTTTTTTTTCTTCATTTTTTTAAAATTCGTGTTTAAATTATTTGTTACATATAGTTAGTAATAATAATAACTTCTCTTAATTATATTATTTACTCCAAAACAATTTTTGACCAAATTTTATGCTTCTCATTTTTACTTTGACTAAAAGTTCAACCCCTAAAAAAGGTTAAAAAAGAAAATGAATTAATGTTATATCTAATTATATTAAAACATTATGATCTTTATCTAATCCATTTAATAAAATTTCCTTTTGAAGCCACCTAATTATTACAATTAAGCTACATATAAGAAATAGCTAAAGAAGAGAATTTTTTACAATCCCCAAAAAATAAAAATAAAAATTCAATTACATCATGGCTAAAAGTTTTTTCATTTTATTTATAATTTCATCATATATTATTAGCACTTATCAAGTCGTAGCTGATCAAAGTGTTGAGGTTCATATTATTAATGGTCTACCAAATAACGATAAATCCGCAAAAATTCATTGTGCATCAGCAAAAGACGATTTGGGAGAACGTTTTCCTAAAGTAGGTGGTGATTTTGAATTTCATTTTCATCCGAGTGACGAAGGTCGATCTCTTTTCTTTTGTCGTTTTTGGTGGGGCGATAAACGTGCAACGATAGATGTTTATACTAAAGAGTTGAGTCCTCATTGCTCAAAGGGTGATACTAGTTTTTGTATTTGGGTATTTAAGCAAGATGGATTTTATTTTGGTCCTTCAATAAGAGAAATTAAGAAAATGTATGATTGGAATAATTAATTAATGTATGGAATTATCAAATGAAATAAATATTTTCTGTTTTTTTTTCTCCCTAAAATGTTCTTATTACTCTTTTTGCATTTCTTTTTGCCCTTCAAAGTAATTAATATCCAGAAAGTTTTCAAGAGAGATTTATTTTTTTTCTTTTGAAATCGGTCTGAAATATATTTAAATTTTGTTCGAAATTGTTGTTGCGATATCAAACTTTATGGAGGGACCTTTTATCTCGACCCGAAACTATTTAATAGTGTATTATATATGTCAACGTGGACATAAAAAATTACATAATTATAAATAGTAAAGTGTCCATGCGGACACATATACCTTTAAAATACTCTATTAAATAATTCAGGGGGTAAAATATCCTCCTTAAAGTTTGGTATCGTAATAACAATGATTTTTACCGAAACATTTAACATTTTATTCATCACTTTATATATCTTCAATATCTATCAGGTTTTAGTGAACAATAATGATTTTCGATATGAGGTTCATATTATTAATGCTCTTCCAAAATTACTTTAAATTTATGAAGTCGTCTCTCTTCTCTTCCTCTCTCTCTATCTGAAATCTCGCTTGCCACTCTCCTCTTTTTCGGTCATTTCTCTCTTGCCTCTCACCTCTCCCTATCCTCTCTCTCTC